AACTGCCCAGAGAGTGCTTAAAGCACTATGGGGAGGTATATAAGCAGCACGCTTTTGCTTTTAATTAAAGTTTGCTGTTGCGCTGTTCATGAAGGTAAACAAGATTTCCCCCATGAAACAAATTTTCCAAGGTGGGAGGTATGTGGCAGATGCCCAAGTTGCTCCTGTCAATCACAGCAGAACCTCATGTGCAGGAACCAATGAGCGGACAGGAGGAGCAGAGACAGAAGTTTTGTCAGTCACGTTAGAGAGGAGAAGGAGTGAGGTTTGCTGAGAGAGAGAGAGAGAGAGAGAGAGTCAGAGAGAGAATTATTACTAATAAATAGATGCTGGTTGAATTGAAAATAAATAGACAAGAAGTGATCTAATGTGGAACATAAAATATGATATGATTGTGATCTAATGAACATGAACAAAGACCATCTGTGTTTCTGAGTGACCCTTTGATGCCTTTTAAAAAAACTACCGTATTTTTCGCTCCATAAGACGCACCTTTCCATAAGACACACCAATTTTTTAGGAGAAGAAAACAGGAAAATATAATCTGTTTTCTTCACTCCATAAGACGGACAGACTTTCCACCCCCCTGTTTTGTGGGGAAAAAGTGTGTCTTATGGTGCGAAAAATACAGTAATTCTGTTATTGGCAGCAAGTGTGAGAGTAAAGTTCTTTACTGTGTGGATAAGAGAAATCCACTGGTGGCAGCGAGAGAGAAAGAAGGAACGTTGCCAGCGTGGACCTGGGTTGAGGGAAACAAATAGGGACACGGGGTGTACGTCACAACTACCAACTGCTTTGAGGGATAGTCGAAAACTGGGTCAAACAGGGTTTAGTGTTCTTTATTTATTAGGTCTATGGTTCTTGTTATATTACGTAATGGTTTATATTTGTTATGTAATAATGGTTCATGCATATTCATGTTGCTGAGAGGCAGAGTCAAGAGAGATGCTATAAGAGGTAAAGTCAAAGAGTCAGAGGGGGAGATTAAGTGAGATTGAGTAAGGAAGAGAAATGTAAGAGCAAGGCAGTAGAGAGAAGTCAGAGAGAGTAATAGTGTAGTTTGGGAAATTCTGAGGTGTGATTAGCTACTGTAGATATTTATGAAGCAATCTCTATAATCAATAAACCAAAGTTTTATTTAAAAGAACTTGAAGAGTGAACCTGATCTTTCTGAAGTAATGGTGATTTAGGGATCACTTGGTGGCAGCAGTGTTAAAGAGGAGAGTGTTTGCCTTCGTGTGCTCTGAGGCTTGAAGGTCAAGCAAAAGGAGCACGAGGGTGGACGCCACACAGGGATAGGTACCAAACCTAGAGAGTGTGTATTTTGAGTCTGGTGTGTTGAACTATGAACGTGGTCGAAGCCATGAGACCAAGGAGGTGCAGTGTCTGATGAGCGGAAACTTTCTTGAATGGCCGAAAAGGCCATATGGCCCATTTTAGCTTGAGAATTCTTTCGAGGGGGAGGAAAACTCTGGCTGTGACAGAGTCGAGGTGGGCCCTGATGTAATCCATAGTTTGTGAGGGCTCAAGGCAGAATTTCTTGAAACTGACTTTGAGGCCGAGATCCACCAAAGTTTGAAGAGTAAAAAAGAGCATCCCCTTGTGCTTTGTGGTAAGAACGTGCCACAATCAACCAACTGTCTATATACGGAAAGACTGTGATGTTGTGTAGACAAAGGTAGACCGCCACGAGGGCATGACATTTCGTAAAGGTTCTTGGAGTGATGGAGAGACCGAAGGGGAGGGATTGGAATTGGTAAGCTGAGTCCCTGAAAAAGAAGCAGAAATACCTGCAAGGATATGGGTGAATAGAGATATGGAAGTGTCTTGAAGGTCTATGACAATGAACCAGTCTCCTGGGGAAAGAAGAGGAATACTGGCGTCGAGGGTGACCATTCAAAAATGCCTTGGATGAATGTAAGAATTGAGAAGTCTCAGGTCTAGGATGGGACGGAGGCCTCCATCTCGTTTGCGAACCGTGGAGTAAAAACCTTTGACAATGTTGTGGGTAGGCACCCTCTGAATGGCATTCTTTTGGAGGAGGAAAGATGCCTCATCTCTGAGAGCAGGTGAGTAAGGAGTAGACCTGATGTGACTGGTAGGAGGGAGCTCCATGAATTCTAACAGGTAACTGTAGCGAATAATGGCTAATACCCAGCTGTCCTTGGTGATAAGGGAGCATCAGCAGAAAAAGGGGGCTAGACGGGGGTGTTGAGAATCGAGCTGTAGACAAATATATTGTTTGTTTGTTTTAGCAGGGTGACGGAAAGGCTGGTGGCACTGGCCGGGAGCTTGGGATCAAAAAGCAGAGGCTGCAGAAGAAGACAGTGCAGGATTTGGCCTGTCAGCAAGAGGAGGTTTGTATGGGTGGTACAACTGCTGATATGATTGTTGAAAGGCAGAGGGATGGCACCCGTGGTAGCGTTGAAAACTGTATGGTTGCTGAGTAGAATAGGAATGGGCCGTTTTGCAAATTTTATGAAGGTTGTCCATCACCACATCAGTCTTATCATTAAAAAGGCCTACACCATCAAAAGGCAGGTCCTCTATGCCAGTTCTTGCATCATCAGTGATTCCACCTAACCAAAGCCATGCATGTCTCCTAAGAACGATAGCTGAAGCTATAGCTTTTGACGCTGCATCAGCGGTGTGCCGGGAGGCTATACGTTGTTGTTTAGCCAAAGTAGAAGCATCGAGGTATGTTTTGAGGGCACTGGCCCCAGAGTCCTCACGGGCAGCCTGGACAACTGGAAGATTATTCCAGAGTTGCCTATGATAGGCCCCCAATGGCAGCCTGGTAGTTGGAAACTCTCATGACAAAGGAGGTGAGGGAGTAAAGACAACGGCCCAAAACGTCCAACTTCCCACCCTCCCTATTAGTGGGGTTGACTGTGGAACAGTTTCCAGCCTGTGACTGGTTAGACAGAACTATTATAGCATTAGGCAAAGGATGCTTTCCAAGGAAGGCAGTGTCACTACCATGGGTCCTGTAATGATTCTCCACATGTCTGGACATTTGTAATGAAGAAGATGGCTTATCCCAGGACTCCTTGAAAAGGTCTAACATAGCCATAATGAAGGCAAGGCTTAATGGAGGGGACTTTTCCTGATTGATGTAATCAAAGACGAGATCTTGTTTGGGAGGAGGTGGCTGCTCGATGTTGAACTCCAGAGACTTCACCATGCGGAGTATTAGTTGCAAATAAGAAGTAAAGTCCTCAGAGAGAGGGGGTGATTATTGGCTACATCCGAGTCAGGGGTCGGAAGATTTGAAGGAGGTGGATCCAATACGTCTAAGGCTGTCAATGCCGAGGAACCCCTAGTATAAGAGAGAGGTGGAGATGGCGAGCGGTGATAAGACCTCGATGTGGAAGCTGCAGCCTGAGGGGCAGGAAGCAGAGCATCAGTTCCAGGTGGAGCAGGTCCTTTATAGGTAGTTGAGACCTGAAGAGATGATAAGCAGGATGTGAGAGAGGGTTGCACTTGGGTGCAATGCCGAAGCAGACAGTATGCTTTGATGAATGGTGCTCTGGCTGAGAAGCATACGATTGTGGTAAACGGCATTTGATAGAAGACTTAATACAGTAGCAGTACGACGGGATTGAGCTGAGGATAAGTATGATGGCGATGCTGAGGAAGAGACAAGGATGATGGAGATGAATCAGAAGAAGAGGCATAGGCATAATGCACTCTCTTAGGTTGCTCATAGTAGCAGGCTTCGTAGTATAGGTTGACATCGTTGTATCAGTATTGATGTCGATCCAACTCCTGATAATACGATTCTCAACAGTCCGGTAGAGGTTGATGTTGAGAAGGATGAGGTATGTAGATAACATCTCAATGGAGAGAAAAGATAGCAAAATGTGGCAGCACTTAGCCGAACGCTTACGTGGGGGAGACTGTCCTGCCGAGGCCTCAAAGTTTGAAAGTTGTATCACAGTTGCCCGCCTGACAGAAATAGGGCTAGAATGGGCTGAGGCTGGGCTGGAGAGAACATCAACCCTTGAATGGCCATGACTCAGGGAGAGGCTCGGTATTGACAACGGAGCCTGAGTTGGGGGAAGCGGTACCGGATCATCAGCTTCCAAAAGAGTCTGGATCAGGTAATTCCCTGGAGGACTACTTAAGGACCGGAGATGGAAGTGACATCTGGGTCAGAGGAGGCTCCCTATGCTGGTGAGCTTTGGTAACACGCTTTGCTTTCTTTTGTTTAGCAAGGTCTTTCTTTTTGTTAGGTGAACCAGTCGAAACAGAAGGTGACTTTGAGACTGACACAGGCCTCGGGACAGACGGTGGCTTCGACTTCGATGGCTTAGAAGTCGATTTTTGCTTGGGGGATGGTATGGTAGGAGCCAATGCCTGGTCTGCCAACTCAGATCAAGGAAGAGGTGTTGAGGTGGGTTCAATGATCTAGGTGGATCTCAAGTCGGAGGGTTTTAGGGATTTCTCCCAGAGAAAAGATTGAAAGCACTGCAAATGGAGTTTGAGGGCACGCTTTGTCAGTCTCTTGCACTCGGGGCAGGAGTAGGTCTGGTGTTGTTCCCCCAGACCAAACAAGCTGCAACGCTTAAACAGGCCCAGTGGGGCCATTAAAAAGGGTGGGAAGAGACGGGGGACAGAAAACAAAGAAAAAAGAAAAAAACTCACAGGGAAGCGTCCAACAAGAAGAATGAAGAAAAGAGTCCAAAAGGTCAAGGACAGGATCCGAAGATCACAAAAAAATTAGAACATCCGAAGATCGCCAGTGAAGAATGCTCTAGTTGCAGGAGGAGTTTAAACTCAGTAATGGCTAAAAGGAACTGAGGGACAGTAGATGGGCGGAGCATGCGCTCCATGGGGGAACATCCTACTAATCACGTTTTTAAGCTCTAGAACGCTCCGAGGAGTCCTGCGCAGGCATTGATTAAGCCATTTGTGTGCATTCACAGAGACCACAAAGCAGAAACATTCTGTTCCAAAGAGGATGTTTAAAGAACTCTACTAAAAGAAATAAATCATACCTTGATCATCCTAGAAAGGTCTCCAGCATCTGCTAATTCCAGCACTATATTTAGTTCATTGTCTTCAATAAATGATGCATAGTATTTTATTACATTTGGATGGTTCAATTGCTAGGAAAATAAACATAATATTTTAGTCTATTTCTCACTGTCCATGTTAAGTACAAATACTTTAAAATGATGACAAATGGCAAGTATTCTTCTCCATTTAAAACTAAATCTTAAAATTTAAAGGAACACATTTCCTATATTACATTTCAAGAACATTCACATACTAATAATTTTTAGTTTGCCTTTGGCACAGGGAATGAAAACCTTGCATTTAAAAATCAATCTGAAACTCTGAAGGCTGAAACAGCTGAATGAAATCTAAACCCAATCCCATTTTTTATTTATTCACCCAAATATATGAACATTACCTCAAATTAGCTCTTCTAATTGTCAGCACACACTGTTTTTTGTTTGTCTGTCTTTCTTCAATATCTGCTCCATAAGAAAATGCAAAAGGATTTGATTTTTCCCACCCTCTGTGATTAACTTTGCATAACATGTGTTCTTTTCCCAGACCTTAGCATTTAGTTTTGGGTTGTAATTGGGTTCAGTTCTATTAGATGTGCCATTCAGATACAGAGTTCTTTGAGAGTAGTGATGAAAAATCTCTGGCCCATGTGTTGGATGCAACTCGTGGTACCTGGCTCACACTCTTCGTTCCTCATTCCCATCCCACACAACAACTAGACTTAGACAAAGTTGCCTTCCAGAATGTAATTTGCATTAGCCCCAAATGATATGACTGATAGCTAGAAAGAAAAAGGTTAAGACACTGCTATACAGGCAATTAAGCTTAGTGAAAAAATAGGCATCAGATTGGTTTTTAGACAATGGACAGTTAGAAGAATACGCAGAGCTTGAAAAATGTTAGAATGTCTCACCAGTCAATCAAAAATTTCACCAGACAGCATGACCGGACTATAGCCTTGCAATTTATTTGGATTGGGAAATCACTGATTTATACCCTCAGACTTGGGTTGTTTTATTACCTGTGTACCTGTGGGGTCATGAAGCTTGTATTTTGAATGTCTCCAGCAAAAAATGAAACTGAAAGCAAAAGCATCTGGCCTCTTAAGGAGCCATGGTTCCCTCCCACCCCAGGATGTGTCCTCGTTCGGTTGAAATTGGGAGCAGGGAAAGTCCATATTCTTCAGCATGGGACTACTCCTGCAGAGCTATATCTCTATGTGCCACTCGAACTCTCTTCTCATGAGAAGAGGGCAGTTTTCCTTTTGCAATGGGAGGGGGAGGGGAGGACTGCAGGATTAGAGAGAGAGAGAGAGAGACAGACAGACAGACAGAGGGGAAAGGAGGCAGGGAGGGAGGGAGCTGTGACTCATCCAGCAGCATTTTTCACTCATCACAGACGAGTGCATTTTTCAGTCCCTGAGAATATGCAAGTTAGAATGGGTACAGATTTGAGAAAGTGACAGGGAAAGAGTGAGGTGTGAAAAGATGAATGGTGTATGTGGCGGTGGTGGTGGGATATTGCACTGACCCCACCAACCACTAGTATTTAGATCTGGACAGATAATTCTTGAGCCAATGTGGTCCAAGGGGAATGTTCCCACCTATCCCATCTCATACATAAATATCCATATGCTTTCATTTTTGTTCTGTTTTTCATGATTTTGCCATTTTTGTAGCTGGCTGGACATCTCAGCAAGTCAAGGCACATGGCTGTAGAGGCAGAGGATAGAACTTTGATTCTCCATTGTATCTTGTGTAACCTCAAGCAAGACTACCCTGAGGAAAAGAGAATAGTAAACTACTTCTGAGTACTGTATCGCTGGGAAATCTTGAATAGCGTCATTATGACTCTGAATCAACTTCATCAAATGTTGTTATCATCATCACATCATCATCATTATCATCATTATTATCTGTCATGTTTATAGACTGCTTCAGTAACTCTCTAAAGCGGCGTTCCCCAACCTTTTTAGTAGTGCGGACTGGTGGAGCCTCTGAGGGAGGTGGGGCGGCCCTTTGTGCTTGTGCTCTCCAATGCACACGCAAAGTGGTGTGCTAGCGCACACGGCATAGGCATGCGCACATGCGTTCCCCCACGGCTTCATGCATGCGCAGGAGTGCCTGCCCACCGGCACGCCCATCCCACCCCTGAACACGGGCGCATGCTTGAAGGGGTGAGGGAGTGTGTGCTAGCGGTGGCAGCAGCCTGGGAGTATTTTTTTTAAAAAAATTACTAAACATTTTTTATTTTACTCCTTGCTGCCCTCTGTGGGAAATTCAAATGCTGCCGCTGGTGCTGGTTCCAGAGCTGGAGGCACCAGCGGCAGCATCAGCCTGCTAACGGCGTTGAGAAGCGCCGACCCCGGTCTCTTTGGAGCCCGCCAGGAGGCCTGCAGCCAGAGCACCCAGCCATGCTTTGCCTCCTGGCTCTTGACCACCCCCACCCTGCTGCCCCCGCTGTGAGGCCAGCAGCCAGAGCACCCAGTCATGCTGTGCCTCCCGGCTCTTGCCCACCCCATCGCCTCAGCCACCGGGCCGCATACAGACCTCCCGCTGCCCCCTGCACGCACTCCCCTCCCCACAGCTGCTTTGTGCACGCATCCACTTGTGTGAAGGGGTGAGGGAGCGCTCCCGCCAACACTGGCACACGAACGTGCAAGGAAGCTGTGGGGAGGGGAGTGAGTGCAGGGGGGCAGCAGGTGGTCTGTCTTCGCAGCCTGGTCGGGCTCAAGCCATGGACCGGCAATGGGCCTTGGACCGGGGGTTGACAACTACAGAGGTGCCCTGCATGACGACGATAATCCGTTCCAGGAAAATCGCTGTTAAGCGATATCGTCATCATGCAAAAAAACAATTCCCCATTGGAATGCATTGAAACCCATTTAATGAGTTCCAATGGGGAAATTACCTCGTCATCCAGCAAAGATCGCCCATAGGAAAAGCCATTTTCCGAGCGCCAATCAGCTGTTAAAATGGCTGCCCTGCGAAGCATGGGTCAGGGAAACGCAGGGCAGCCATTTCGCGGAGCTAGAAAAATTGTCATTTTGTGAACAAACGGTTCACAAAGCAAGGACCTAATCATCGTCAAATGAAAATCCCCCATAGGAAACATAGTTCTGCGATCACTATAGCGATTGCAAAAAAAGTCAGTCATGCGATTTCGTTGTTCTGCGGGGTCGTCGTCATGCGGGGCACCACTGTACTCAATATAATGTATTTCATAATTAAATACACATTTCATGACTTTATAGTTTACTAAACGTCTGCTTTTCAGTTTCCAGGTATGCCCTGGGTTTGTTACAGGGTTTGGAGCAGACAGAAGACGTGGAAAAAAGGGGCTCCTTAATTACAGAGGAGTGAGATTAGAAAACCACTTCCCCCATGACTCCCTACTAGGTGAGTCATACAAACAGGCCAGGTCACATGCTATTAAATAACACAATTTATCATGATGTAATTTTAAGAGAACAGCCCCATTACCAACCAATGGCCATTATAAAAGTAAGTGAAACCTTAAAAGATTCTGACTGGACATCAGTCTACATTTCTAATTGTCTCTATAAAGTAAAATGTAACAACAGCCACACTGCTATTAGAAACTCCAAAATACATATTATAGCAAAACCTCTATTAGATCAATGTCAAGGTCACAAAATAACATGAGTTTATGAGTTCTCCAGAAATGTCAGCCAGGCAAGAGAGTAAATGAAGCAAAAATGAAAAAGAATTGGCTTGTATCTAAGCCATGAAGTTCACATCCGGTTACAGTCTTAAGCTGAAAAATGAAACAAGGCCAAAGACATCCAAACTAGACTTTACTAGGTGCTGTAATGGTTTCAAGTTGTTCCTAGGAGTCTCCAAAAGGCCACCAGGATGAGAAACAAAACAAACAATGGTTTCTCCCTCATTTTTGAAAATGTCATATCCAAGTATTCTCTAAAAGTCTCATCATTCTTAGGTAAAAAGTACAGGATACTTGGAAAGAGGGAAACAAAATCAGAACGAAACTAGAATCTTTCAGTATTAATGAATTATTTTAGATGATACTCTAAATCAGAGGTCCCCAACCCCCGGTGTGCGGCCTGAGCCAGATTGGGTTGTGAAGACAGACCTCCCGCCCCACCCCCCACGCACTCACCCCGCAAAGGCCATTTGTGCCTGTGTGTGCGCTTCTGTGCATGCGTGAATGCACATGTGCAAATGGCGCTGGTGCCGTTTGCGCATGTGCAAGAGCCCGCACAAGCACCGTGCCACCGTTCACACATGCGTGTGAGCGCGGGGGGTGCCCCACCTTCCTCAGCTAGTCCGGAGACCGAAAAAGGTTGGGGACCGCTGCTCTAAATGATAGAAAATGATTTTTTAAAAAATAATCTCCATTAATAATTAAGTGAATGATCAAAATCCTATTGTGTATTTCCGATTGTCCAATGGGAGTGACATCGCTCACAATGGCAGACTGACACTAATTAATGTTTCTGCTTCAATTTTGAGTTTTACCTAATGTTGTCTCATCATGCACATCATACACAACCCAAAATTAAAACAGGAACTCTTTAATTAACAGCAATCTGGTGCTGGTGGTGACATCACTCCTGTTGTGCTACCAGAGTTATGGACAGGATACTGGCCATCAGTCTATTAAATTGTGGGCATAGTACTTCATCCTATTCTCAGTGGATTTTCTTTCCTTTTCTGTGTCAGGAGCACTACAATACAATTAATAGGCTGTAATATAAAATTAGGGAACAGTTTGCATATAAACACACATAAAATACAAAGTGGATTACAAAAATTGTAACACTTAGATAAATATATCAGATAAGTTTTCCCCAATAGCAGACCATGTCAAGTGCATCTGGTGGAGCTAACACCAGATAAAGATACTCCTGATCCCCAAACATATTAGCCAGATTAATGTAAAAGACCAGCCCAAGGTAAGAGCCTGAGTCTTGCGCTATACCTGGGCAGCAGAACGAAATCCTGCAGTGGAAAAAGATTTCTATGTACCTTTGTATAAAGGAATGACTCACACAATCATGCTTGAATAATTGTGCAAATTACTTGCAGACACAGATCCTTATGTAACTAATCAAGTAGCTGTATTGGCTACTGCTGCCAAAAAGATTTCTGCAAAGTCTTTAAAGCTATTGTTCTAAGTTATACATAGGATGAGTTCATTTGATCAGTATGTTTTATCTTTTCTTTCCTCGGTAAAACTGTTAAAACCAAAGGTTATACACATGAACAGCAACGTATGTGGCTTCTCCTTCGCAGACTCTTGCAATCAACGCCAGTGTACTAAAGACTTACGAAGCAGTTATGTTCCTAAAGCAAAACATTTTAAAAGTATTTTTCCATGAAGTCAAGTTTATATTTTTCAGGCTTATCAGATGCCACATGGGTTTTACAGTAATTCATACTGGAATGTTAGTACTTCTCACTTATGCAGACTGCTGTTTCCACTTGGTCACATGTCTGCCAAAAGCTGATACCTGCGTTTTGCTGCACTATTTGAATGTTATTTTATTATGAGCAAAATTTTTATGAGTTTGTCCACAATCCCTTCAGGAGCAACACAGCTCCATACAATGGACTAAGAATATATATAAAGAGACAGACATACACACTAGAAGTAAATTCTGCTCTGGATCGTCAATATAGAAGTCTGAAATCCAGTGTCTTCCACTAAAGCTTATTATTATGTCTGTCAAGTCAATTCTGATACGGTGAGCCTTCTCACTGTTTTCTAGGTATAGACTACTCAGAAGTGGTTTACTATTCCATTCTTCTGGGGCACTCTGAGACTGTGCAGTTTGCCCTAGGCCACACAAGCTGGGTCTTCTCTCCAAAGACACAATGAGGAATTGAACTTTCAAACTCTAGTTCCACAGCCAGACATTTAACTTACTGAGCTATCATCACTGAAGTCTATTTGAGATATACCATTTATGCTCAGACTGTACAGTAGTTAAAACAGATATATGGCTCTATATCATCCCAGTTACCAAATCCATGGTTACTCAATTTTTTAGAATCAGCAGGGAAATAAAATGGAAAACAAACAATTTTCATTTCTGACATACTGTACACAAGAGCTAGATTATAACCAATCACTGCCAATTTCATAGGTTTCTCTAATTATCATCTTCAACAAAATTGATATTTACCTTGAGAAGATCTATTTCTTTGATACAATCTGCACGGGCTTTGGCATCCATTAAATCAAATATCTGTGTAAAGAAAAGGTTGTAATCACTAAGCAAAAATAAATGTATATGGTATACATCTTCAATTGTGCTTTAAACTGAGACTGCCATAAAGGTAAAACAATCTATCACATGAAAAAGAAATTCCCGTTGCTCAAATGTACGACCCACTGGTTTCATCTCCACCAGCTTTTCGGTGAACAAGGAGGCCAGTTTGGCTCTACTTTGAAGGAGGAGACATTTAGGAACAATCATGTTGATGGTTTTTGCCACTTCCTCATTCCGGAGATCAACCAAAAAATCCCCAAGGGCAGCCGCAAAACCATCTTGATCCATCAACCTTCTGGGGTGGATTTTCTTAGTCTGACCTCCACCCCTCCAAAGGCTCTGAGTTCCAGTGAGTCCAAATCACACCAGATAATGGTCTCTGTCCATGACAATGGACACAACGTTCCTCTACACCCAGATCACCAACATCTACACTGGTACAGAAGACCAGGTCTAAAGTGTGGCATGTGGCATGAATGGAAGCAGATACTATGGTCACTGTGGAAGTCATGAAGTCTTGAGACAGCCTTGGCAGAGCTCCCTCGACATGGATATTGAAGTCCCCCAGCATGACAAGCCAAGGGAACTCCTACACTACCCCCGATACCAGCTCAGCTCTGGAAGTGCTGTGTCCTGCTGTGCCATGGGGTGGGTGGTACATCAAGAGAATACCTATTTTATTCCGGGTTCATACTTTCATAAGCATACATTATGAAAGGGAACTGGAGAATGTGACATATGGTGAGAGGGATGGAATAAAATTAGACCATCCCTACTCCACGTCCCCGCCCTCCCTGGTCCTGCCTGCTGTTTCACAGAGAATTCTGGCAGACAAAGGTGAATGAGATTAAAAAACCCAGCCTCATCCAACCAAGTCTCTGTAGTGCAACTGAGGTCAGCATGTTTATACAGGATCAGGTCCTGAATGGCTGTTATTTTCCCATTCACTGACTTAGCATTTAATAGCAGTATTTTCAATCTGAAATAGATGGCCACATCTTCCTAAAACAAAGGCTGCTACAGAAATACCAAAATGAGAGCACTGTGAATCTCACACCCAACAGTCTATTTCTCTGTTATTCAAGACCTCTCTAACCCTACTATAACACAGTGGTCCTTCTCAATCATTTCCTCTTTATATAAACCTTCTGCAAGTTATCTGGCAGGAATAGGGCATTTCTAATAGTCAAAAGGACACTGGGATGAGATTCAAAGATCATGAATAATCACTGGTCTTCAATGAGCAATGCCCACCCATTTGTCCTCTTCCAAATTCCTTCAGTACACACACACACACAAAACAAGGGAGAGCAAAAGCAAGTAGCCTTTGGCAGCAGGCGTTGAGTGAATTTTGCTGTGCACACATCTCATGGGAAACATACTAGATGTAAATTTTGAACTGATCAAATTGCTTAGGAAGGCAAAAAGAAGAACTGTAGGAAGAACACACCTCAGAATTCTCTCACCTTTATATCTCACAAACAATAGAATGATAGAAAGCACACCCTCTGGGATTTAAGGTATGATTCAGAAAGCAGACTGAATGGCAGAGCAGAATGACAGCAAGATAAGGCATAGGAATAGAATTTAAGGCAAAACAACAACAGCAGCAACAGACTAACAGAGAGGAGGGAAGAATAGCATTGTATGTTTAGGGTATTTTCCACTACAACAGACTAACAGAGAGGAGGGAAGAAAATCTAGCATTGTATGTTTAGGGTATTTTCCACTAAAATACTGAAAGGCAAGCTAGTGTTGACGGAAAACACAGAAGCAAAAGTTTACAGCTTAGGGTTTACTTTAGAACATGCCTGGCAAAACACAAATACTGCAGTCTGCAGTTGCTTTAAGTCTCAGTCAGAATTAAAAACACATACTATTGCTTAGATCAGCAGTCCCCAACCTTTTTGGGGCCACAGACCAGCTGGGGGGAACGAGCTCCATGTGTGTGTGGGGGGCTGGGGGCACATCATGCTTGCGTGATGGAAGTGTTGCGCTCACGGGGGGCATGTCGCGCTCACGTGTGAGCACGACATGCCCAAGCGTGACACGCCCCCGCGTGAGCATGACATGCCCACCGTGCCTGTGTGCGGGGGTGGGTGGATAGAGATTCATATCTGCTGCCCAGTTCCAGACTGGCACCGGGCCGCAGACCAGGGGTTGATGACCCCTGGCTTAGATCACCTTGGCATTAAAATCCCAAAGCTTGCCCCATATGCTCAGCTACAAAGAATGTGATTATCTTTCATTCAGTCAGCATTTATCAGCAAGATGTCTCAACCAACTATGACACCCAAGCTCTTCTTCTGTGTTGTGCCTCCACTTCACTGATTATTTATTTATTCAAATTTATTTTAAATATTTTTATCCCGCCTTTCTCCTTTAAAAGGACACAATTATCAAATGCTATGTAAAGAAAAAGTTGTATATCTTTTACAATATTTTGTAAGACACAAATAGCTAATCTTCAATTTAATGCATTTCTTTCTACACAGTCATATTTCTAAAGCCCTGATCAATCCAAGGGGGGGGGTATCAGAGGTGTTGGAAGTCAGAGAATCCAGTTCAACTAATGATGATGAAGCCTGAATGAGAAGGTACCTGTTTCCCCCACAGGATAAGGAGACAAAGAAGCTACGTGTGAGAGACCTCCCCACCCTCCAGTTGTGATGCCACTATCTGAAACAGTAACTGAGCTAAACTCAGTAACAGAGTGTCAGATATGAGAAAATATCTTTCAACAGCAAAGAGCTGGTAGGATTCAGGGAGGAAAAGGATATTTCAGAAAACACAATTCACACCAGGTTCCTATCCAGTCCTTCCTGCACCTGTTTTTTGTTAAAAACAGAAATGTGGCAAGTCCTTGTAATCACATTTCTAACTGGTATGCTTAATGCACTTTGGCCTCTACCCAAGAAAGAACAGGACAGACAGGAGCCTTACATGGAAAGGGAGACAAGTAAGTAGTTAAGGACCTGTAAATCAAAGTAGGTTTCTAAGAAATAGCCATCTATTCCCTAATACGAATAGAGAATTTTGTTGCAGCAGGAAGTGGCTCACACACCAAACACAGTTGTAACAATTGTAATTGGAGACCCATCATAGAATCAGAGAATAATTGAGTTGGAATAGGGCCATTGAGTCCAGCCCCCTGCTCAATGCAGGAATCTAAATCAAAGCAAGTCGGGCAGATGGTTGTCTAACTGTCTATATTTTAAATTGTTTTTATCTTGTATGTTGTGAGCCGCCCAGAGTAGACTATGTCTAGAGGGGCGGCATATAAATGCAATAAATAAATAAATAAATAAATTACTCTTGAATGCCTCCAGCATTTGAGCACTCACCATCTCTGCTGAGGCACAATTCAGTACTCTGGATTAGTAAACACTTGTTAGCAAAAGGGATGTTTAATCCAGAAGTTCTGTGCTCCCTTTTTAAAACTATAATTAATTATAAACTTTATACTCATACTGCAGAAGCAATGACTAACTGGTGGTCCCGCTAGAATTCTTTGCCTTAATACCAAGACGTTGTGCAAGGCACCCATCCTGGAATTCAATTAACATTTCTAATAAAGAAGACTCTATATCTATTCTTTTCAGAATTCAAACACAGAAACCCAGGGGTTGCACCTATGGTCAATGGCTTCTAAATGGCATGCAGCCAATTCATAAGAGGCTCACTACAGACACAGCAAAAATGTCTTGGACAGCATCCATAATGATTCAGCCAGCTGCAATCCTTTTAAGCTGCAGAACTACTGTTATATTGGACTATGGGGTAATTCACAAGATAAGAAGCGACAGTCAGTACTGAGTGACAAGCTTGCAAGCCATTAATGCAGGGGTGGGCAATTAATTTCTATAAGGGGTCCACATGAAATATCTGAACTGTGTTCGGGGGCTGAACCAACTTTAGTTAAAAATAAAATGAAATGGTGATGTTATGATTGTTTTTATTTTAAACTTGTTAATCTTCACAAATACT